GTATATACACTGAGAAAAAAATGCTGTTGAATCAACAGCATAATCTAATTGAAAATAATTTTATTAATTCAATGACATTATTAATGAAACAGTATATCATACTCTTGTTTTAATAATCAAGATCTTCGTTTCATTAATAATGTTATTGAATTAACAAAATTATTTCCAATTAGACTTATTTCCAATTAGACTGCTGTTGATTCAACAGAATCTTTTTCTCAGTGTATAAACATATTTTATGTAATATATAAAACATTTCACCGTAAATATCATGTCTGTACATAATGTAATCTTAAAAGTAATCTAAATAATATTAATAAAGAGATCGACTCCTTTGTTCAAAGGACGAAAGAGAAAAAACAATATAAAATGACTGTCATCCTTTTCAAAAACAAGTTTAAAATTATGAAATGTAAACAAAATGAGATATCTTTACATGTAACAAATTAAACATCGCTTAATGTGTTATTTGTACATTTGAGCTAAATTCGATGGCATGTCTCGCAAGAAATCTATCCTCTTTTAAATCATGCTGACAAAAGTTAAAAATTAAAAAAAAGTAAAGAAATATTATAACCAATAACATTTATCTCTAATCACGCATAACAAAAAAAATAGATTGATAGATAAGATAAAATAGATTAATAGATAAACAAAATAAAGACAAAATGTAATGAGCATCTTCTATTTCTTGGAATTTTCTAGAATCTTCTGTTTCTTTTGTTTTTTTTTCCCATGCATTCTTTTGCATGGGCAAGTCATGTTTTCATTGGAACTGCAGTTTCTTCATTTATTACATTTGAATGTAACTTGGATTACACCTGAAAAGAGTAACATTTTTTTCATTAAATCTTTATTATTTCTTAATAAAATAGAAAAATGTCTGTATGCACTTTTTATATTGATAATTTAGTATACCAGGTGTATGCATAAGTTTTTCCGGTTTTTTAGTAAAAAAAGACACGTAATTTTCAAGGGAAATTAATTTTTTTTATTCAAAATATTGACTATCGGCTTCTACACATTTCGCCCATCTTTCAGGTAATTTATGAATACCATTCCAGAAAAACTGCTTGTCTTTTGCGGCAAACCATTCGTCGAGCCATTTTCCAACTTCCTCGAAATTGCTGAAGTGTTGCTCTGCGAGCGCGTGCCCCATTGATGCGAAGAGGTGATAGTCAGATGGCGCCAGATCTGGGGAGTACGGCGGGTGCGGAAGGATGTCCCATTCAAGCGATTTCAAGGTGTCTTTCACTGATTTTGCTGTGTGAGACGGCGCATTGTCGAGTAACAAAATCACTTTGCCATGTCTTCTGGCCCATTCCGGTCGTCTTTCGATTAATGCGTGGTTTAAATTAATCATTTGTTGGCGATAGCGTTGTGTATTAACGGTTTCGCCGGGCTTCAAGAGTTCATAATACACAATACCGCTCTGGTCCCACCAAACACAGAGCATGGTCTTCTTGCCGAAGCGATTTGGCCTTGGTGTTGATGGACCGGCTTCGCTAGGTGAAAGCCACGATTTTTTCCGCTTCGGGTTTTCAAAATAAATCCATTTTTCGTCACCCGTCACAATTCGATACAAAAATGATTTCCTTTCGTGGCGTTGAAGTAGCATTTCACAAGTGACTTTGCGATTTTCCATTTGACGTTCATTCAAATCGTGTGGGACCCATTTACCGAGTTTATTGATCTTTCCCATTGCTCGTAAACGTCTGCTGATTGTTTCTTGTGATACATGTAATGCTTCTGCTAATTGCCGTTGAGTTTGAGTTGGGTCATCATCCAATAACTCCTGCAATTGCTCGTCTTCGCATTTTTGTGGTCTACCAGAGCGCTCACTGTCTTTCACATTGAAATCATCACTTTTAAATTGTCGAAACCATGTCTCACATGTTCTAATCGATGGAGCGTGTTCACCATATATGTTTCTACCAGCAAACGATGACTTTCAACAGCCTTTTTCTTTTGATTAAATAAAAAAAGCAATGCGTGCCGCAAATGTTCTTTTTCAGGCACAAAACTCGACATGATCACTGAACGATAAAACAAAGACGCTAATTTTTGGCGGACTCAACTTGTGTGTGTTTGTAGTTTTAAATGTCAGACGAACAAAATGATGTATGTGTCAAATTAATACGCTGCGTACTTTTCGCTGGCGACATCTCTTAGTTAAACCGGAAAAAACTTATGCATACACCTGGTATGTTTTATTGTATAACAGACAGAATAGTTGCAATTTTTTATTGGAATTCATGAAATTTATATTTTAGTGGAATTTGAATAAAAAGTTAATGAGTAGTATTTGAAGATGTTTAATATAAAAAAGAAATAAGAAGTTAGATAAACAATTCAAATATAATATTAAAAATTTATGAATACTCAATCAATAATCATAGACTCCTCGCTTCGATACTGTACTTATTATATTTGCTATACGTCTTTAGTGATTAAAAATGACTTGTAAATATTTTATAAGAAATTATGAAAATTATTTAACTCAAACAACACAAAGATGAAAATCGAGATATAAGGTGTCTTAAAGATGTCGAAATATATTTGTTATAAACTGTATCACTTACAAATTTGAGATTACCTTTATTGTAAAAATTATATATGAAAGTCACATAAAAAGCATATAAAAATTACATGAAATGCGAATATAAAGCATTCAATGAAAAATTTCAATTGAAAACTTTTAGGATATTTTAACTCTTAATCCCTAATAGCACTCGTCTATTTTGACAAGGGAAATATCGGAAATGCCCCCCCCCCGATTTAATGAGCTTCGAATATGTTAAAATATGGACAAAAATGAGACACATATTTTTTTTATTTGAGTTCTCGAACGTTAAGGGAGTGAAACCATTGTTTGAAAAAAATCGATTTTTTTTTCCTGAATAAACATCGTTCAAACCATGAAAGATATCAAAAAAAGTTTTAAACAAAAGTTTTACGGCTGCTAGTGTACTTTACAACGACGTATTCGAATTTTTTAAAAATGTTATACTTTTGAACCCCCCCCTCTCACTCCCTGCCCTTAATTTAAAAAATTTTTAAATTTTTATATGAATATGAATTCAAGAGTATTTTATGCTGAATACAATGGTACATAATAACATTATTTTCCCAAAATCGCATTTTTGAGAAAT